TGATCTTTTTTTCACATTTACAGCTCATTGATTAATGAACAAAATTGGTAGATCAATCAATAATGAACACATCATAGCAAAGACAGGAAGCATTTGAAGCTAATTTACTGCGTCGTGGCATCCTGACATTTGTATGTAAAGATCTTTATGTATTTATTTATTTATTCGCCTAGTCCGAATAAAATCCATAGTTGGAAATAAGTGGATTATTTGTTTGTACAATTGTTCTAGAATCCAACCATTTTAGCCTCTGCTCCTGAAATGATTTCTTTTGGCTGAACTTTTACATCCACACTGGTAAAATCGACTGGTCTGCAGCACTAATGCACGCATAGAAAATGCTGGACTGGGTTGGGTAAATGAAAACATGGGCTGACAATAAGAGGCTGACACTGACCTGCATCCACCAGTTCAGGACTATTCCTTCAATACCAAGCAGTTCCACTGATAATTATTGACAGTGGATTATCCAAAGTCATTTTTCCGGGCTGTGAACACCATTAACAAAATTCAATTCAAAAGCAAAAAACAAAAACTAAGCAAGGAGCAACTGAGATTTCCTTTTTCTAAGTGGAAGTGAACCACGCATTTAAAAAGACCATTGTGCAGGATTGGATAAAGTAGTATCTAGCAGTGTGGTTGCAGACTGCAACTCCCTCGAGTCACCCTCCCTTTCCAAACGCAAAGGAGAAACTACAGTGGCTGTAAAACAGGCAAAAACAACTCTGTTTAGAGCCAGGCTTGGGTTCATCTATTCTGGGCTACTATAGAAACATGGTGGTTCAACATGGCGGACTCCACACAAGGCAACCCGCTGCATCTGTAAATAGAAAAGGCTCACTCTACAACAAAAACATAACAAGCCTTATTTTCAGGTTATTATACAACAAAACATACCTATTCATATTATATTCAGTTTCTACCAACAGAGCCTCATAAATGCTACACACTGGACCTTTAAGTCTAATAATCTTTAACTTTTAGCTTTGTTTTCCCATTCCACCTCATGGCACAGCTCCATAGTGCAAAAACAGCACTGTGATCATTAACTGTCAATGAAGACAAACAATGTTGACAAGCTCACCTTGTTCAACATCTGTGAAGCAACGACCTAAGGAAAGACCAGTTATGTACCAGCTACAGTGAAACAGAGACTTTATAGTCCTATGGCGTTGCAATTGTTCAGAATCTCTTGTTTGATATGGCAGGTTTTTACAAAAAGGCTCAAATCACAAGTGACTCAAATAAGAGGGTACAGGCACTCCGAGCATAATATATATAAGATTAACTGTTTCAAGTCAGCATCCTAGCAGTGGCACTTGTGCATATTTGCAAAAAACAAACATTTCCTACCCTGAAAATATTTTGGTGTCAGGCTTGGATCGAAGAACATACAGTCACTGACAAGAGACAACACAAGATGACTGCTAGACTGCAAAAAACTCACTCAAAAAAACACTTTCACATAATGTTCTTGTAAATCGGGGATAATCCATACTTTACAAGAAGACACACATTTGTGATGAATTCAAAATATACATAGGACAGGCTTGTCACAAAGTGTCAGGGTCATCTTAAGGAGGGAAATGACACATTTACTGAGTGATTTCTAAAGAAACGATGAGATGCAATACATTGAACTTTGAAGTTAAAAACCGGGCAGCTCAATCCAAGTGAGCAACAGCAAGTAGCCCCGTTGGCTAATTGTTAGGTTAACCCTAACCCTAGCTCAAGTAACCCGAAATGCACCAAACTCAACATCAATACTGAAGATGACATGAACAGCCAGGTAACAACACGGCATGAAAATACAGGAGAACATTTGTTTTACCTCCAAGCTCTGGCAAAATGTACACATTTGACATAATCTTCGACCTAAATCGAAAGCCTTAAACTTTTGGGCAAGGAAGTCCGTCTTTGAACTGTCTTTGTTTTGAGCAACAATTAACCTCCTTCAGCGGTGTGCCAGCCGTTCTCAGGTTGCACACTTTCACCAGGTGCCATTTTTTTTCTATGAAACAAAGTTGCGGCGTCTTACCTGACACATTTCACTGAAGTCTCACGGAGATAAATGACCACGATAGACCTGCTGTGAGCGCGTGTGCTGCTCCCCGTGCTCCTCTCTCCAACTGTCAGTCCGCGCGCTGCTCCGAGCGAGCACGCTCCTCCTCCATCTGTGTCAAACCCACGACCCACGAGCTCGGGCACGGGCTTTATTTTACTGTAACGCTACTTTCATTATCGAATAACGTCACGGTGCGAGGACTTTACAGTGAACCATCAACACTCACACCGAGATAAACACTTTGTTTGTTTTTTTAAAACGTTTCAGATGAGTACAGTTG